TGGTTTGGCTATCTGGGTTCTTTATGGTTCCATATGAATTTTAGAATAGTTTTTTCTAAGTCTCTGAAAAACTAGTTTGTTAATTTGGTGGGAATAGCATTGAATCTGTAAATTGCTTTGGGCAGTATGGCCATATAAATGATAGCAATCCTTCCAATTTGTGAGCTTGGAATGTTTTTCCATTTGTTTATTTCATTTCTGATTTATTTCAGCTGTGTTTTGTAGTTCTCTTTGTAGACATCTTTCACTTCCTTAACTAGTTGAAAAGCAGGAGATACGGGAATAGGGTGAAGTAAAAGATGACCCTATAAATGAAGGTAGAGAAGAGATTGTAAATGAACTTAATTACCAAGCAATTTAGACTTTAATTCTACAATAAACAATTCAGTCTTAAAATGGGGGGATGAGGCATTAGCTCTTTATACTAATTTACTGTTTAATTATTTATGGTACCCTTCTTACTATACACCCATGAGAGCAGAGATCTCAGTATTGATTGACGATGCGTTTCCAGAACTCAGAAGAGTACTTGATTTTTTTTACAACACTGACTGTTCAAAAATGATTATTTTGCAAGAGTTAGTTTGTAATGGGGTACCAGTTAGGAGCAAGGAAACCAGTAAAATATGATTGAGCAAGACAAAGTAAAGGCAGAATATGGGCAGTGGCAACAGATTTTATGTAGAATCACAGAACTTCATAACTCATGAACTAGAAAGGGTTTAATAAAGTGAGAAGTCCAATGTCACAAAAGGGTTTCCAACCTGGTTAACTAGATGGATGGTGATGTTTTAACCAACACAAGATTATAAGAAGAAAAGAAAGTTCAAGAGAAATGTTAAAAGTTTGGATTTGAACTGAATGAGAATAAGATGTATTTGGAACATGATCTGATAGTCATCAGGTAACTCTACAAAAGTAAAACAGTTCTTTAATTTGTACTTGGGTGAATAAAAACACTAATTTAATGTAATATAACTGTGTTCAAATCGCATCATTCATATCTTCTGAGTGCCTTGGAGGGATAAGAGTATTTCATTTATTATCAAATTCGTTTGATATTATAATTGTAAATCACTATCTCTACAACAGAAACAGGGAAGGTAGAAATAGATTAAATAACTGGTCCAAAGATTCCTGAATTGCAACTGGGGGAAAATAAAATGCAGGCACTGTAACTGTCAGTGTAAGTTATCACAAATTTTATTACCTGGTAGACAAAATATAGACTTGATAGAATGTTAAATAAACGGAATGATTTAAATCTGTAATAGAGGTTTGAGGTTACTGAGATTTGTTTTGATTCTTCATTTTACTGTCTACACATTAGGAATTGCCAAACTAATAGAAAATACTACATCCAGCACAAACTCATTACTTATATGAAAATGTTAAATCTCTGTTGCCCCTTTTTTTTCCACAAATATTCTCTGAGACCAAAAAAAAACAAATAGATTTCATGGGCAAAATACTTTAACCAGGATATCTATGGAACTCTTAAAGAATTCTTTTGTTTTCTTTAACAACAGCATGAGAAAAGTGTAGTCTTATGATTATATAGCTTATCCACACCACCTTTATCAAAACCATTGTAAGTATTAGGGAACATTTGAAAAATACATGTTGGTCAATAAACAAAAAACATGTTGGTAAGAAAATAATTTTTCTTGTCTATGAAAGGATGATAAGGGGTTTTTGCAATCCATTGTCTCCAGAATATCAAGAAGTGATTTCTTAGAGGATCTTCATTCCAATGCAGTTTGAAATATTCATAACCATTTCTGGGATATTTATGAAGGAAAACCTAAGAAATTCACTTTGTGTGACTTGTAGAATTATCTTTGAAAATCTCTTAAGTCAAATACATGAGACTTGTGAAAAATGATGGGATTTCAAGAATTGACTAATTCGGGAAGCCTGGTTTGTCCACTGACTTTAGTACAATGCAAATACTAAGATGATTCTGTGATATGAGGCACTTGGGATAACTGGCTAAAATTGTACAAAAGGAAATAAAGTGTAGTATCTTGAAAATTTAGAAAGAGATAATAAATTACTTCCAAATATATCTTCGAAGAGCTATAATGCAATATATAATTTTTATAAATTGAAAAAGACAAAAAAACACTGTTGTCGATAGACTTCTCTCAGCTAAAACAGATTGAAAGACATCCTAATTTTCATAATTTTCCTTTTACTTATCTATTTTCTTAATTATAAATTGTAATAATGGATTGTAAGTTGCTTATAATCTTCACAGTATAACTAGCTTCTTCCCTATTGAAAAACCAAAACAAATTACAGGTTAGATGTCAGCAGTAATAAAAAGAAATTAAAAAAGAGATTCCTTAGTTCAATTAACAGCTCTTCTCTATTGGTGCTACTACACAAAATACAAAAGATTAAGAATTCAAATGTGAAACTTCTGATTCACAGGAAACCAGGGAAGTCTTCATTTGATTGTTATTCTCAATGAGAAGACAGAACTTGTCACTGATGAATTTTAAGATTGCCTAAAGTATCTCCCAAAGAGTTATAAAGAGAAATAATGTTGAAGTACTGTGTATTCACAAAGATCAGATCTTGCTGAAATTCTCCAGAGTTACTTTCTTGAGAACTGTCAAATCGAGAAAAATTAACTTGTTTTTATGAAGCACCTGCTATGATTACCTCTATGGCAAGTGACCCTGAGAAACCCATGAATGAGGATATAAAGCATTATGGGAAAATAAGAGAGGAACAATATAAAAACAGGCACATTTAATAGTGTACACGATAGATGTGATGGAAATGCAACCATGAGAAATATCACTGTGAGAGACTTTCACGGTAGAGGTGCGTTGTATACATTCTAATGGAGTGGGAAGAGATGGTCTGGTTAGTGAGCAAAGCAAATAGGGAGATTATCCTGGCAGGTAATCTCCTTTACACAAGTAAAGGAAGGAGACAGGATTAAGTAAATATAAGAACAATGAAAATTGGTAGAGCTGTGGCCACAAAGGCTAGTGGGAAAGATGAGGTGCATCACTAGAAAGAACTGACTAACAGGATGAGACCTGGAGCTTTTATCTATAAATGTTGTCTGAAAGGCACCTGTCCCGTAAAGGTTAAGATCTAAATTTCTGAGACAGATTACTTGACACTGCCACTTACCAGCTATGTGACTTTGGACAAGTAGTTGAATTTTCTATCTCTCCATTTCCCTATCTGCATAAGAAAAATAATTACGGTATGTAGCAATACAAGTGAAATGCTGGCACACTCCTTTTATTCTAGTAAGACTGGCATTCTTAAGGGAAGGACACACGCTTGTTAAAGAAAATAAAAACCAAAAGTGTTCCTCTGACAGCAATAGTCAAGATAGATTAAAAAGCTGTGAGTCTGCAGGCAGGGACATCAGGCAGTCGTCGTAACAACCCAACTTTTCTCCTTAACATTCAGGATACATTATCATTCAAACTGGAATATTGGTCTCAGAAATTTTATATTTCAGTACAAAAATGACCTTTTATTTTCCCCACCTTGCTACCTTAGCGTTTGTATCAGTCCCCCACCTCCAAGCTCCCTGAAACTGATGGACAAATAAAAGATTTCATGATGAACTTTAAGGTTTAAACCTAAATCTTCTAGATTCCTGTCCACAAGATTGCTGACAGTTCATTTGAGTTCAATAATTGCCGATAAAGTTCTTTATTCAGATTTGGGTAAAATTAATGACTTTGAAGAACGTTGCAGAATATAAGTTCATAGTCACTACAAATGGAAAACTTCCTTGGGTCCTAATTTTATGCATGATAAATTGGGAGCTTTATTAATACGTTTAAACTTTAGCACATCTTTATTTAAAATATAGATTCAAACGTAAAGTCTAATATTGGCATACATTTGTACTAATTCGTGATAGTCACCCTTTCTAACCCTCAAGGCTTTGAGTTCATAAAAGGAACATTAATTACAATGAGATAATATTTCCATCATCGGTACACTTAAGTTCTTTCCAGATCTTCTTCGTATTTGTAAGGAAAAACTGTGCATAGTGCAGATTGAAAAGCTAAAAATTCCGATAAGACGTGAGAAATATAGAAGTAAAAACTAATTATGTCATACATGCTTATTTCAGGTGAATAGCATTTCCCCTGCATCCAAAATGAGTTTATCTTTTAAACTTGGGCAATTGGGCAGAACAAATGCATTATCTTCTTTGAAATAAATCAGTTATTTATGTCGAATATTCTACCTAATAGAGATGCATCGGGAACTGTAACAGTGTAACAATTGATATGATAAAAAAGAAAAGAGATTATGTTTAGTTTCTGATCTTAGCTTCTATACCACATGACAAAATCAGAGTTACTTGTTTTTCATGTACTGCCCTCATTGCTCTGTTGATCAAATTCCACGTGATCAAGAACTATTACAAATCCTACAAGCTGTGTAGCCTTCATCAATCTAAAATTTTTCCGCTTAAAGGCTCTCAAAATCAGACTATGACCCATGGTCTATAATTTCTTAAAGAGAATTTATGAGTTTCTCCTGTCTGCTTTGCCTTAGGAATACTTCAGAAATGCTCACTCTAATATAAGTCAGCTAAAATTGCTGCACAACCAACTTAGAAGTTGTGCCCCAACTGCAAAAGCAGCTGTAATAACTGCTTAAATTCTGGCTTGAGCTTGTTGATTGTTTTGTAAGGAAAAGCTAGAGGACAAAAAGAACATAATCTGAACAAGTGATTGCAGGGCTTTAGGAAAAGAAGTACCTATTTCCTTTGTAATTTATATTGTAATTCTTGTCCCTTTTATGAACTCAAAAGGAAATAATGCTATTAAGAAATACAGAGATGACTCTGTATAATATGAACACTTTTATAGAAGCAGGTTGGAAAATGAAATTCCTATTAATAAAATACAAATAATTTAGTTGCCACAGCTGGGTATCTCTTAACGGCGGCACATCTTCCTGTAATTGCTCTAATCCATGTGTGTTCTCTTGCTCTTTTGCAGGCAGACCAGTAATGATTGTGGTGGAATATATGGAGAATGGATCCCTAGACTCCTTTTTGCGGGTGAGGTGTTCTTTTCTGATGGCATTTAAATAAGCTATCCTCAGTTCTATATTTAAATCATTTATCATAAATTAATTTTTGCATAATGTTATTCATGGATTTTCTGTGAAGAATAGCAGTGTTTTCTCTAGGGTGCATTTCCCTGATACTGTGATACATTAGAGTGTCACAAAGGGTGGAGGCTGTACACTCAGTAACATAATTGATTTATCCTATAAATTCACTCGCTATATGTGTGTGTGTATGTATGCGTTTGTGTGTGTGTGTGTGTGTGTGTGTATACCAAATAATGTTACGAAAAAAGAGATTAAATGAAACTCAGTTGCCTCACATAGTCATTAATTTTGCTTTATCACATTTGACTATGCAGTATGATACTGTATACATTATCTATAATGCTGAACTGCATTATTGTGTGTTTACGAACAGTGACTCAAGTTCATTTCAGAGAATGTTCTACCAGCTTTATCCCTCTTAATTTCATTTGGCTAACTATTCAGAAAACAAAAGGAGGAGGAATAAAACTCCTTTAGCAGAGATTTTTGTATAATAAATACAATTTAAAATATTATTTTAAAAATGATTTATCCTTAAAAGTATAGTATAAATAAAAAATAATTTATTTTATACTGATATAAACACATACTGAGAAGGGACCAGGAAATTATATTTCAAGGTTTATTTATAATATATTTAAAATTTGAAAAACTATGTGTGCTGTGAAAATATTCATTGATAGTGAAAAAAGTGAAATATAAAAAAAACTGCTATAGTAAATATTTTTCATCCCCAGCAAAGGTCATATATTTGCATGTCACTGTATTTTTAATATCTATTTATCTGTCTATCTACAGAGATATAACTATTTATCTCACTTACAGAATGGCTGGACTTTGCCACTTGGAATGTCACATTATTTTTCTTCTTTATTTTCATGTGAAAATAAACCATTCACTTCCCTTTTTTTTTTTTTTTTCTTTTTCCCCATGTTATGTGAACAAGTTCTATTTGGATCTCACCTTTCTCTCTTGAACTCAGTTTCATTTATTTTTCTTGATTCTGGGACCTCTTCTTCCAACTGCTCTGAATGCTAGCAGTGATGATATATTTATACTCTGACTGGGCTTGATGTCCAAATTCAATCCTAGGAGCTGAATTCAGCAAAACCATCAAGTTGTTATAGAGCAATCCTGTTCGTGCAGTATATACTCTCAACCAAGTGGGCTCTGTAAGGTAAAATGAAATTCGAAAGTATTGGGGGGCGTGAACTGTTTGTTCTTCTCTGTAGCCGTTCTGACTAGAAATGTGGGATTTTACAGCTTGTGTTCATTTCTCCTGTTCTAAATTATTTTGGAATAATTTATCAGGACCACCTACAATACTTGAAATGCATGTATACTGAACGCCCTTCCATTATGTTTCTTCGAAAACTCATTTTTTATCAGCTGCATATCGAAATGCCTCATTAGCTAATGATGCTTGGGATAGGTTGGTTTTCTTTTTATTTTCTTCTTTGTATTTTTGAATCAGCTGTATCCTAAAGCAGAATATAATGGCAAATAATGTAGCAGATATTCAATCTAAATTGATGCTAAAAATGGATCAAGTGACTATCACAAGCAAATAAGGTGAGAAATATTGGCTTCTCACCTAATTTATATACTTTATTCTGCTGAGTAATGAATCAATTAAAGGTTACAAAGAAACAGCCGTATGCTATAAATAAAATATTTACTTCTAAACATCCTACTACGTGTTTTTAAGTGGTGTATTTTATGCTTTAAATTTTAAAAACTAATTTTTTTAGCTCTTACTATGTGCTTTGTACATAAGACATTATCAGATATTCTAGTGGGGAAACATTTATACTTAATTGATAATAGCTATCATTACTACTGCTAGGAGAACCTGAATACTTTTTTCAGCTAATTTTGGCTCTACTGATGGACTGTGTGACTTTGGTCATGGTACCAAATTCTCTGTACTTCTGTTTACTCACCTATGAAATGAAGATATTAACAGTACCGACTCTACCTCATACAATTGTTATAAAGATTAATTGATTGTCATAAAGCTCACAGAATAGTGGGTGACACATTGCAGGTGGCAGAGCAAGAATGGAAATTGAAGTTTCTGTGACTCAAAGAGTTGTACTTATAAATTATGAATTCATTTTATGAAATTGCTTACTACTTTTCCTTATAAGTCCACTACCATCTCTTCCTGTGGTCTGTGTCCCCTTTGCACCTAGAATTTCTAAAAGTCACGTTATTATAATACCAAAAAAAAAATAAAATAAAATGAACAGAAAAATAGGGTCAATACTTCCATCTTACTCTACTCTAATGTTCTTGCCCTTCTTGGTAATCATCTCTCTTCTCAGAAGCTCAAAGTGCTTTATAAACTTTATGTCAATAGCAGATACTCAACTCCCCATGGCAAGCAGAACTAAAATACATAAATATATATGCCCATAAATTGTCAAAACCAAAGTCATTTTTCAAACTGCAGCTTTAGAACATAATCACAGCTTATGTGAGCACAGGAAGGAGGAAGTGGCTAAGTGCACTGTGTCGTAGGGGAGCCATCCGCAGCTCATTAATAGCCTTCTGTGCTTACTGGAAGCAGAAAAGATTTCCCTTTGGTCTCCCACACTATTTGAAAACTGCTTCCATTTGCTCTTTTATTATGAAGGAGTGGTAGCACTAGTAAGTACAAGATTACATCTAGTGTCAGTGCTGATGGCTGGCTGGCTGGCTGTGATATTGCACTGGATTCATGAATCTCGTACCGTATGGGATCCTTGGGGACATTCTTCCAGATATACATCAGCGGGGGGGCAGTATAGTCTAGTGTGTGTGTGGGAGGGGGGGCTGCGTTGGTGAACATATGTGTGTGTATAGAGAAGTGATGTGTGTGTAATCGTGTGTTAATGGCAGTCAGAGAGAAGGGCCAGATCACCTACAAAGGGAAGCCCATCAGACTAACAGAGAACCTTTTAGCAGAAATCTTATAAGTCACAAGACATCGGGGGCCAATATTGAACGTTATTAAAGAAAAGAGATTCCAAACCAGAATTTCATATCCATTCAAACTAAGCTTCATAAGAAAGGGAGAAATAAGGTCTCTTTTTCAAACAAGTAAATGCTGAAGGAATTCATTACCCCCAGACCTGCCATATAATTGAATAAGAGATCTTGAAGGAAGCACTAAATACAGAAAGGAAAAACCAGCCACAACAAAAACACAATGAAGTACACAGACCAGTGACACTATAAAGTAACCACATAAACAAGTCTGCAAAATTAGTAGCAAGCATCACGATAACAGGATCAAATCCACACATAACAATACTAACCTTAAATGTCAATGGGCTAAGTGCCTCAATTGAAAGACCAGAATGGCAAGCTGAATAAAGAGCTATGACCTAACGATATGCTATCTTCAAGAGACCCATCTCACATGCAGTAACACACATAGACTCAAAATAAAGGGATGGAGGAAAATTTACCAAGCAACAGAAAAAAGCAGGGTTGCCATCTTAGTTTCTGCCAAAACAGACTTTAAACCAACAAAGGTTAAAAAAGACAAAGAAAGGCATTACATAACGGTAAAAGGTTCAATTCAACAAGGCTAGCTGAACTATCCTAAATATATATGCACCCAAAAAAGGAGCACCCAGATTCATAAACCAAGTTCTTAGAGACCTTGAAAGAGACTTAGACTCCCACACAATAATCGTGGAAGACTTTAAAACCCCACTGTCAATATTAGACAGATCATCAAGACAAAAAAATTAACAAAGATATTCAAGACCTGAACTCAGCTCTGGATTGAATGGACCTGGTAGATATCTACAGAGCTCTGCAGTCTAATACAACAGAATATATATTTTTCTCATCATCACATGACACTTACTCTAAAATTGATTACATAATTGGAAGGAAAACACTCCTCAGAAAATGCAAAACAAACTGATATCATGACATTCTCTCAGACCACAGTACAATCAAATTAGAACTCAAGATTAACAGATTCACTCAAAAACCATACAATTACATGGAAATGGAATAACCTGCTCCTGAATGACTTTTGGGTCAATAACGAAGTTAAGGCAGAAATCAAGAAGTTCTTTGAAACTAATGAGAACAAAGATATAATGTGCCAGAATTTCTGGGACACAGTTAAGGCAATGTTAAAAGGAAAATATTTAGCACTAAATGCCCATCTCAAAAAGCTAGAAAGAACTCAAGTCATCAACCTAGCAACACAACTAAAAGAATGAGGAAACCAAGAGCAAACAAATCCCAAAGCTAGCAGAGGACGAGAAATAACTAAGATCAGAGCTGAGCTAGAGAGGCATGAAAAACCATTGAAAAGCTCAATAAATCCAGGAGCTGATTTATTTTTTTTAAGTGATAAAATAGATAGACTGCTAGCTAGAATAACAAAGAAGAAAAGAGAGAAGTTTCAAATAACACAGTCAGAAATGATAAGGGAATATTACCCCAAACAAATAGAAGCAACAATCGAAGAATACTATAAACACCTCTATTCACATAAATTAGAAAATCTAAAATAAATTGATAAATTCCTAGACACATACACCCTCCCAAGACTGAACCAGGAAGAAATTGAATCCCTTAACAGACCAATAACAAGTTCTGAAATTGAGGCAATAATAAATAGCCTTCCAATTAAAAAAAAGCCCAGGACAAGAGGGATTCACAGCTGAATTCTACCAGATGTACTAAGAAAAGCTGGCACCATGTCTACTAAAACTATTCCAAAAAACTGAAAAGGAAGGACTCCTCCCTAACTCATTCTGTGAGGCCAGTATCTTTCTGGTACCAAAACTTGACAGAGATACAACAGAAAATAAAACTTCAGACCAATATCCTTGCTAAACATCAATACAAAAATCCTCAACAAAATACAGGCAAACAGAATTCAGCAGCACATCAAAGGGCTTATCCAATGTGATCTAGTAGTCTGCATTT